ACTCATACCGGGGACAATTGACCTATTCCCACAGAATGCACGCCATCAAGAGCTGTTCCCACCGAGTGCATGCCATCAAGACTGGTTCGAGGCGCACTTGTAGACAGCGATTCGACCCCAACAGCCATGTTCAACGACGCCTGTTGCTGCGAGAAGGATGAGAGCTGATTGGCCTGAGCATTCCACAGTTCTTGGTTCGGGGTAATAATGGCACTGTTGTTGTTGCTGTTGTTGTCGCTGATGCTGTTGTTGTTGTTGCTGTTGTTGCTGTTGCTATTGTTGTAGTTGCTTTGGGTGCTGTTCCCCTTACTGTAGTTCCGTCGGATTGCGAACTGTTCTGTTGAGGCGCTGCCCCGAGTTACGTTGTACGCATGCTGTTTGCGCCCTCCCCTGTCTGCTGCATCATGCACATATAAAATTTGGTACACAATAGAAATGTAACGTATATATGAAATTTGATGTATAATAGGATTATAACGTATGTATGAAATTTAGTATACAATAGGACTGTCACGTGAAAAACCGCTTTGATTTTAACTCAACATAATGAGATATCTGGTAATTTATAAGATATCAATGAAAAAGGTATCAGTTTGTACAATAACATAGTAGGTTTATATCATTTGATTGTCAATGTGATGTTGTTGAACAAAATGCTAATTCTCTAGATATGTGATACAAAAACGGTGACACGGACATTTGTAACAACATTAAACCATCACCCAAGTTCTGATGTTTACATCATACTACGTGCGTCTGAAAGTCAACCTTCATAGACATGTACACATATATTTGGGTGAAGACACATATGCTAAACTAAACGCTTACGCATATAACTACGTAGACCTCGTATGAGTAGGCATGTACATGGAGAAAAGAAATAAGAATGTACCCGACCGCAAATTACTACCAAGCTTACCCATGTATATGCCAGAATATGCAAGAGAGGTTTTCAGCGACTCAAAGGGTTTGAAGAGATGCAAGCGCAAATAAGGTGGATATGAAACAGTGCACTTAGTTTAACACCATGTGTCCCCAAGGCTATGTGCGCCTTTCCCGACAATGTGAGCGCAGTTTTGCAATTAAAAATTAAAGTGCAAATTTAAGTTATGTCGTTGAAATAAGTGTATATATATGTATATATATATATATATATGTGTGTGTGTGTGTGTGTGTGTGTGTCGTTGTGTGTGTGTGTGCGTGTGTGGTGTGTGTGTGTGTGTGTNTGTGTGTGTGTGTGTGTGT